CAGATTCCTGGTGAGCATCGGCCGTAGCTCCATCTTCTTTGGCTAAAAGGTATGCCAGACACACTGGCCTCCTCCACTCAGAGCTGAGGCCCTGCATGGGCCTGAGGCTTGGCAGTGACCCGGCAGGCCCAAATGGAAGACACCACACCAAAGGTAAACAGACACAGATCGCCGTCTGCTCAAACACAGTCACTGTTTTCCCATCATTCCTGAGCATGCAATTACTTGGTTACAGTCTTCCACATTTAAGCTTTGTCTACAACAATAGAATAGCACCCAAATTGGTCACCACACTCATAATGGAATATTTATAAATGAGGCATGATTCAACAGGCTGCCTGCAAGAGAGAGAAAATGAATCAAAGCATGGGCAAAATAAGCCCATTGTTAGAAAGTTTTTTTTTAATGTGTTTTCTAAATTAGAGAAGAGAGAGTACCACAGAGTAACTATTATTTCCTGAGACAGTAAGAATTGGGAATTTACATTTTCTAAGAGACAGGGTCTCACTATGTTGTCCAGGCTGGAATGCAGTAGCACAATCTTAGCTCACTGCAGCCTCAAACTCATGGGTTCATGCCATGAGTTTGAGGACCCTCCTGCCTCAGCTTCCCCTGGTAACTGGGACTACCGTCATTTCATCTGCACAAGAGAAAAACATGGGCTGTGTGCAGTGGCTCATGCCTGTTATCCCAGCACTTTGGGAGGCCACTGTGGGCAGATTACGAGGTCAGCAGTTCGAGATCAGCCTGGCCAAGATGGTGAAACCCTGTCTCTACTAAAAATACAAAAATTAGCCAGATGTGGTGACGGGCACCTGTAATCCCAGCTACTTGGGAGGCTGAGGCAGGAGAATCATTTGAACCCAGGTGGTGGAGGTTTCAGTGAGCCAAGATTAGGCCACTGCACTCCAGCCTGGGTGGCAGGGCGAGACTCCATCTCCAAAAAAAGAGAGAGAGAAAGAAAACTATGAAGTAGAAAGGACAAGTACATGCATGGTCTTTTTAGATCAAAGTGCCGGGTCTCCCATTACAGTGGTGCCTGGGGACAGGTCTGAAAGGAATAGAATGTAACAGATAACCGAGGACTCTTGGATGAATTCGTGTGAACCAAGTGTATCCTTCTGCCTAATGTGAGCCCTCCATGAAATGTGGGTATGCACTGCAGAAGCCCCCGCCAGGCACTGCTTCTCACCTAACTTACATCACAGCACTGGGAACAGAGACTCAGAGAGTTGACAAACAATGACAGGAACCAGAGAGGGTTGTGCCAGAGGATGAGCAGGCAGGCCAGCCTGGGGGCAGGAAACCTGGTAGAGAGTGCATTCTGCGCAGAGAGACCAGCTACTCTAAGTAGAACAGTTGTGGTGGATACTCACAGAATTATCTGTTTAATGTAATTAACCAACCCCTATTCCCACCATCAACAAATGGGCAACAGTAAGGACATAATCTGGCCCACTCCATAATTGATAAGAGGGTAGACAGAACCCCAGCTCCCTGGCTCTAGGTTAACTGTTCCAGGAGCAGACTAGGTTTGTGAAACTTGGCAAATAAAAATACAGGCCATCCAGTTAAATTTGAATTTCTAGGGAGAACAGTGCAAGACATTGTCTATCATGTGGAGAAGGCCACCCTACCAAGGGAGAAGTTAGCTGAAGTCAGAAGTCAGCAACAAGCGGAGGAGAATGCAGCAAGAGTAGGTGGCACTAGGGGCCAGGTTCAAGTCTTTTCCCTGCCCTTCCTACACCTTAGTGATTCTGCTGTTTACTGATCCCCTACTCCCTGCCCATTCCCATCCCAGCCCCAGCTCCTGTGGTCAAGGGAGCAAGGAGAGGCATTTGAATTCAGCAGCCCCATGGTAATAATACCAAGCAAATGCACTTTTGGCACAATAAGGCCGGGGTTGCCGTGTTATATGGCACACGGTCAAAGCCATTTCTTGTATAGACCAGATGGGGTATTTTTCCAAAGGAAATTAATCCTCAAGATGGCAAATTACGTTTGATTTCAGAAACTTAGAGAGAACACAAGCCAGAGTTGAAGCACACACCTTTTCCCCGCCCCATCCACAGTGTCGGAAGTTCTGCAAACCAAGTGGAAAAGCTCACAGATAGCTCATAGGATACCTAAAGTACCTAAAATTTGCATAACAAAAGATATATAACAAGTAGTAGACATTGCGTGCATGCCCCATAAAGAGGTCCCATAGACCTATAAGAAAACCACAACTGGCAGCTGCCGAAAGTGGGCCGGTGATATTTGCAAAAGAAATATAAATTTCTGATAATCATATGAGACAAAAGTTCAACCTCATTAGTAAGCAAGTATATCTAAACAGAAACAACAAAATACTCTTTTTAAACTCTTCAGTTGGCAAATTAAGAATATCAATTTGCCAGGCACAGTGGCTCACACCTGTAATCCCAGCACTTTGTGAGGCCGAGTCGGGTAGATCACATGAGCCCAGGAGTTCGAGACCAGCCTGGGCAACAGAGGGAGACCCTGTATCTACAAAAAGTTAAAAGATTCGCCTGGTGTGGTGGCCTGCACCTGTGATCCCAGCTGCTCAGGAGGCTGAGATGGGAGAATCGCTTGAGCATGGGGGTCAAAGCATTGCATACCAGGCCGCACAACAGAGTGAGACTCTATCTCGGCGGGGGGAAATAAATAAATAAGAATGTCAGATTTACTGAATGCCGACAAGGGTTCAATAGAATGTGTACTCTCTTATACTAATGGCATGTGTATCCCTGATATGCAAATAAATTGGATAAAATAACAAATGGCAAAGAGCCTAACAGAAAAAATGAGCAAAGGGATTGAACAGCCAAGTCACAGAAGAGGTGCAGGTGGTCAAAAGAGATTAGGTATAGATACAGATTCAGATGTACAAATTTAGATTTAGATAAATGCTCCCCATCACACCCAGGGATCAGAGTAGAACAAGATACTAGTTTTGTTTTACTAAGCCATGATATTTGTCTTGGCCTATGACATCATGAATCCCAATAACTTCTATTCCTGGGAAGCATTTGGGGAAACAGCCCGTCTCTCACAAATAGCCCATCTCTCCCTACTCTTACTCTTAGTAGAAGTAAGCATTCCTGCAGCATTTTTGGATGGTAACTCAGCAATATCAGTTAGAAGGACCTGAAATCTCTGACACCTTTGTTTCTTCCTTGAAGATAGAAAATTATTGTTTACTGTCCTCCTAAAAGTGAATGTCTGCCTGCTGTGGTGGCACATGACTGTAGTCCCAGCTACTTGGGGAAGCTGAGGCAGGAGGGTCCTCAAACTCATGGCATGAACCGATGAGTTTGAGGCTGTGGTGAGCTATGATTGTGCCACTGCATGCCAGCCTGGACAGCATAGTAACATATCTCTTAACATATCTTTAACATATCTCTTAAAAAAAAAGTAAATCCTCAATTCTTAGTGTCTCAGGAAATAATAGGTACTGCATAGTTCTTTCCTCTTTTCTAACTTAGAAAACACATTTTTAAAATTTCTAACAATGGGGTTATTTTGCCTGTGTTTTGACCCATTTTATCTCTATTGCAGGCAGCCTGATGAATCATGTCTCATTTTTAATATTTCATTATGAGTGTGGTGACCAATTTGTTGAAATTGGTGCTATATTATTGTTGAAAAAACAAAGCTTAAATGTGGTGGACTGTAACAAAGTAATTGGGTGTTCGGGAGCAATGGGAAACCGGTGACTGTGTTTGGGTAGATGACGACTTGTGTCCTGTGCATCCAAGTTGCCCTGCTGATATACGGCCCATTCCTCCTCTTCCTTCCTTGGAATTTTTCCCACTGCCCCATCAACTAAGCACATATTCCCTCCTTCAAGATTTCCTTCGTTCCTGGGCAGGAGTCCCTGTGCTTGGAATCCTGCCCCATCCCATCCCGTCAAGCTGTCTCCTGCAATCATTCTAGCAGCTCCTGAAATCCTGTTTCCTCCACAAAGCCCTCCCCAGCTGAGAGCAAAGTGATTTTCCTCCAGCTTCCCACCTGTTCCAAGCGTGTGGCCCTGCCACACTGCTCCCTCCCGCCCTCCCGCCCTCCCCCCCCCCCCCCCCCCCCCCCCCCCGCGCCTTCCGTTCCCCCGCCCCTTCCGTTGTTGTCTGTACCCAGGGACCAGACCGTGCGCTCAACGATGTCCTGTCCACTAAATGGCTGCTGTGTCCTGGACGTCCTTTTCTGTGCCTGTTTGTGTCCACTGTGGCCGATCCCAGTGTTTATAGATGTGATTTGCTTCTATCAGCAATGCGGGAGAGCGGTGTGGTGGCCGCTGGCATTCTCAGGAGATGACCATACAGGACATTGCCAAGTTCAAAGTACCAGGCTCAGTAGACCAGGCTTACATTGAGGATCAGCTTTGCTCTCTGGGAGACTTACTGGAACCTTTCTGTGCCTGTCTCAGGTTTCCTTAGGATAGAGTGGTGCTGATTTAACTGGCAAAATGTGAAAATTATACTAAGGATAGTGACTTTAGTGCAACCAGGAATTTGATTTTTTAAGTGTTAAAATTACTAACAGCCAAATCTAAATGTTAGAATTAGAATCCATCCTTCCACAATTCTATTTTCCTCTTCCGTGGTTCAGTGACACTTTAATTGAACTGGATTCCACAGCACAAGCACTCTGGCATCTGGCACCATGAAACACCTTCAGTTGCTAAAATAGATGAAAAGTTTTCTTTTAAAGCCTTTTTCCACTCTCATATCTACACACGACTAAATTTAATTTCACACTTTTTACCTTTGGGGAAAATGCTTGCTTTTACAGCCTTCTCCTAATGTCAAAACAAAAGTTTCCTTTTACTTCTCAGAATCTTGAGATCCTTTTCTGATAAAGAGAAAAACAAATGTGCTGGAATTAGGTCCCGCGTTACTACCGTGCTGACTCAAACCAGGAACTTCGGCTTCCAGGAACTGGCAGCACTGTTAGCAGGCAGCATGAAACAGAAGAACGCAGGAATCACCCAATTTTCTCACTCACTCATTTCACCTTTAATTGTTTCCTAACGTGTTGTGTGAATATTCAAAAGCCATATTTTGAACGCTTTACAGGTTAAGGTGAGATACAAAGGCGTTTTTTACATGGTTATACACCATTACATTCTGTAGTCAGTGGTGCTACAGAAGGGCAAAGGATTTTCCTTCCTCCTCTGTCAGGGAACAAGAGAAACACAACAGGCTCAGGCTCCAAACCTCTGGTCCTTGTGAGTGATGTTTTTCTGTTTTATATGGACACCGACAAAATTATCCCAAGGAGCCCCAACGGTGATATACGATCAATTACAGATGCTAGAAAATGGAAGCACATTGCACGTTAGCATTTCTGCCTTCTAATAAAGCAGTGGGGATCGGATGCCCTTCTTCATCTGTCTGCTCACGAACGGTCTGTTCCTTCACACCCACTGTGCCGTGGGTCACCTGCCCAGGACCGCAGCAGACAGACCGTAAAGGCAGGTGAGCTGCCGCTGACTGCTGATCCCTGCCTCCCTAGTCCTAGGGCCATCTGATCTGGTCCAACGGCATCCTTGAGAGTGAGAAGAGATGAGGAATGGTTCTCCTTCCAATGGCAAGGAGAGGCCATGAAAAACTGCAGGTCGCAGTCTCTGCAGAACCTTTGTCAGCATCAAGGGCTCCCTCCCTCCCACATCAAGCAGACAATCCCTTCTCCAAATCCAGAAGATCAGCAATAATTGACTTGGCTTCTGGCCATTCCCCTTCTGGTACAAACGCAACAGCACAGTTCACTAGCTCTTTCCGATCTGTCCCTGCCCTCCCTTCAAGTGACTCCTCACATCTGATTAAAATCGGTAATGCGGTAGTCCTGGAGAGAGGAGGTGCTATTTATTTCTGTCAAGTTCTGCTTGGAAGGTTTGAGGCTTCCTCCTACCAGACATTTCACTAGTAAACAGAAAAGTCACCCATATTGTCATGCTTGCCCTGACCTGCAAGCTAGTGAACAATAAATCTTAATTATAGTTAAATGCCAAAATCTGCAAAGAATGAGGCAGCACTAGTCAACTGTGAATTGGTCCGACTCCCCCGCCTCGGCTGGGGTGCAGCTGCAGGAATACATAAATTAGTTTGTGATTTGTTTGTGCCGGAACAATCAGTCGAGGCTGTTTCTTGAGAGCGTTTCCAGTATCAGTGGGCACACTGGCATTCATCCTATTGCCATGTCAGATGCAGGTGGCATCTGGGAAGTTTTATTTTAAAGGACTTTCAGCATTATGCTCGGGTTAATAAGAAAGCGCTATTTTTAAATATCTCGGCAGTTTTCCAAAGTAGCGCTCAGCCTCCTGACATCTGCTCCGTCCATACTTGTTACCTTTGGGTTTATTCGGAGAAGCGCTGAATAACCTTTTTGTTAGCAATCTCCTTTTTGCACAGCGCAGGGCCACTGGAGATGGAGGCAGGCATCCATGTGGGGGCTTTTTCTTTTTTCTTTTTTCCCTGCTGCTGTAAAGCTCATGTGCTTTTTGGTATTCAAGTATTTGCTTGTCATAATGCTAAATAAAGCCACCTTGTTGTTCCCTTGCCTGGGTCCTATTGATGTATTGGCACCCATATGAGAGAATGAGAAAGGTGATTGCCAACATAACTCTGTTCAATGGCTTCAGGCTGTTCTATCAATTTTGAGACTCCAGGAGTTCGGAGATGGAACTTGGAAAGAAGGAGTTTGGGCTGCTCAGTGCTGGGTCCCGTGAATCAATCTGCAATCTACTCCTGTTATTTTAGATGCAGATCCTGTTGTCTTGGGAGTCTGTCATCTGCAGGATGCCCCTATCGGTGGTTTTCTAAATAATAAGGTTGGCATGGATTCCTAGCTTCTGGAATCAGCAGAGTGCAATGACAGACCTTGGGATGAAATGGCATTTCATTAATTACCAGGTGGATATGTACATCGGTAAGAAGGAAGTTTAAAAAAAAAAACCTTCCCCAACAGAGGTGGGAGGTGGGAGTTAGGGAGAGGGTTACAAAATAGGCCGCTTTCTGATGTCTTTTTAAGAAAAGCGAAAGGGGAAGCTTTATTTGGTACTTGAATGGCAGGTAACCCTCTCTTCGGGCCTAGGCAGAAGCCTCCCTTCCTGACCCAGGGTGCAACAAGGCTGCATCCCAGCTCCCCCGCAGCCCTGCTGTTGGCTCCTCCAGGCCCGCAGCACAGGCCCCACCCTGTCGCCAGCTTCCTGTTTGTGTGGCTGCTTTGTTGCTTCCTGGCGGTCACTCTGAGCCTGCGCTTCTGCGGAGCCTCCATCCTGGGGGCTGGCTCTCTTCCCAACTCTCTCATGTGCTAGCAAATCTGTCTCTGCCTCAGTCTAAACCCCACATTTTTAAAGGCCAGGCCTGGTCCTGGAGTCTGAGCTGAGCCTTCAGTCGGGGTTGGCCTCTCACAGGGCTCTGGCTTTCTGGGGACCTTTTCTCCCAAGAGCTGGCTTAGTGCATTCTTATGGTTGCTTCCTCACCTAGCTGCCTGCATTACTTTGAGGAAGGGACAAAGGTTGTTACCTCCCTTTACAGGCTGAAAAAGAGGCCTGGAGAGACTGCAGATTGAAGTGGTCCTGGGGAAGAAGAATGAGCTCCCAATCTGCTCACCCAAGATACATAAAGGAGCATCCACTAACATTGAAACACCCACCGGAGGCTTTCTACCATGTGTGAAGCATTTTATATGCATTATTGCATTTAATCTACACAAGCCCCTTGCCAGGTGGGCATTATTAGCCTTATTTTAAACCATGGAAACTGAGGCTCATAGAACTTATTATTATTCATTTGTCTGAATCAATTCCTCTCTCTCTCTGCAGGTACCTGCAAGGTTCCCCAAGGATGCACTTACCTCATTCAGATGCCTGCTCAAATGTCTCGCCCTCAGATGAGGCTTTTTTAGATAAATTGCACTCAATTACCTTCTGTCCCCTCCTATCTTCACCTTTCTTTTGAGAATTTTTTCACCACCCGATATTGTGTATCTATATTTACTCGTGCCAGTCTGTGTATGAGGTCAGGGACTTTGGCTGTTTGGCTCACTGCTGTATCCTTCTAGTGCATGGCAGTTACATCATACATATCTGCTAAGCAGATGAACGAATGGACGGATGAATAAATAAGGCTGCAGGTCTTTCCATCTTAAAGCTAAAACAGTCATAACGTTTGGTCGGATTACCAGAAATAACAGGTAACAATCCCTCCCAGATATGGAAACTCGGGCATAAGACCGACTGGTTCAGGATTCTGACATAAAGCACAAGTAGATCCTGGGCTAAACCATCAAACACTGTGACTAACAGACTATGGCCAGTTATCCTTGCAGGGGCTTCCGGAAGCAAAAACATGTGCCTGGGAACTGCTGTATTAAGCTTCTCAAAGTGCTCTTCCTGCATGCTACAAAGCTCTTGCCTAGACTCAGCTTACCTGACTTCCAGCATGTTGGTGGCTGCTGACAGGAAGAAGGTGGCGAGACTGTTGAGTTGATCCCTGTGTTGTTTGGAGAAAAGTCATGGTAACCCTTATTGCCTTCCCTCTATCCCCTCCCAGAGCCATACTTTTTAAGTCAAAAAAGATAATTCCTATGTTCTCTCTAATCCTTAAAAGTGACCCCTTCCAGTGTTGGAGGGCATCCAGTGACACCCTCATGCTTAGAAGATCCAAGAGGAAATGTTAGGATCAGGACCCAACCAGAGATCCCCACTAGAGCAAACCCCTCTAGAAGTTACTCAAGTGTAACAGAGCTTTCTCAGAAACCACTATATCTATCTATCTATCTATCTATCTATCTATCTATCTATCTATCTGTCTGTCTTCTGTGTACCTCTTTCCTTATAATAATCATAAATTATTAAAACAATCATAAATTATAGGGTGCATTAATTTTTTTCACCACATGGAAGGGAAAATAACCAACTTCAAAATACTTCTTTACTTAATGCATTAGGGGTTCAAGATTATGTTACTTACTCCTCTGGCAAGAGATAGGGATCCAGCACAGGCAGGCTGGGAGAGGACATCTTAGTGAGGGCCATGATGTGTTCAAAGGTGATGTCGGTTTGGGTTCCTGTGTCTACCAGCTGCGACTCTGACGGAGGTGTGAACATTTTGGTCCTCAGCGTTCTTCTCAACACCTGTACCACTATGGGCTCCTTGGCTGTCTTGAAAGCTTCCACAGCCTGGTCATGAGTTGCTCTGGATAAGTCTTTGCCGTTGACCTCGATAATCCTGTCATGAATTTGCAGGCCTCCTTCCTTGGCTGCGGGCCCCCTGTCAACTATCTGAGAGCCAGCAAGGGAAGAGGACAGCATATTTGCAAGTCCACTCTTGGCCTCTGCTTCTGGGCTCAGGAAAGACACATGAGCAAAAGCAAAATGCAAGCAGCAGATTTAATGTGCTAGACTAGACCAACACATAAAACCCCACGGCCTTGCCTTCTTTTGTCCTTTTCTACTAGGCCCCCCACCATATATGATCCTTTTATCAAGGAAAACTTAATAGAGAAGAACCCAAAAAGAAGACAGATTAAGTATATCCAATCAAATTTAATCTCCACATTGAGATGTGCTGTAACTGGGAAAACACACACTGGATGCTGAAGCGCGGTGTGAAGAAAGGACATGAAATTTCTTAGTCATCATTCTGATGTGGATTATGTTTTGAAATGATGGCATTTTGGATCTCTTAAGTTAAATACAAATCTTATGGGAGTCTTCTCTCTTCCCCAGCCATGGTGGCCCACGAGGAGGCAGCTCAAACTTCATTGCAGATGGTAAGTATGGGGGCCAAAAAGTGTATAAGCCATGATTTTCTACTTCAAGGAGATGAGCGTCTTGGATTAAACAATCATACGGGAGCTAGAATACGTGTTAAAGTGGACTGATCAGCTGGGTCCGGTTGCTCGTCTGTAATCCCAGCACTTTGGAAGGCCAAGTCAAGAGGACCCCTTGAGCCCAGGAGTTCGTGCCAAAACCCTATCTCTACAACAAATACAAAAATTAGCCAGGCATGGTAACATGTGCCCGTAGTACCAGCTACTCAGGAGGCTGAGGTGAAAGGATCACTTGAGCCCAAGAGGCAGAGGTTGCGGTGAACCAAGATTGCACCACTGCACTCCAGCCTGGGCAACAAAGCAAGACCCTGTCTCAAAAAAAAAAAAAAAAAAAGTGTGTTGATTGAAGGCACCAACATGCTTTGAAGTTTCAAAAGAAAGGAGAAATCACAGTTGACAGACTGAGAGAGTCGGGAAAGATTTCATGAAAGTGACTTCTGAGACAAATCTTGAAGGAATGGTGGGATTTTAATAGGCAGCGATTGAGTAAGGAAGGATACCCCAGCAGTGCAGAGCCAGAGGGCAAAGCATTGGGGGTGGGGTAAAGTAGGTTGAGTTCGGCCAGTGCCTACGATACATGCCGAGGAATGATAGATGATAAGGCTGCAAAGGAATGAGGATGCAGAAAGCCAGTTAAAGGAATTTACACTTGATTTCAAAGGCAAAGGAGAATGGTCCATCCGTACAATGGGAAACTTCTCTGCAGTAAGAAAAGGTTTCTCATTTGATTCAAATTTAATTCAGCTTAAAGACAAATAGTTGATTCCATTATTAGAAAACTGTAAGTGTGTTTGGACAACTTGGTTTGTGAATCTTCTCTTACACCTGTAAATCTTGCAAAAGTAAAATACAGATTAAGTATATCCAATCAAATTTAATCTCCACATTGAGATGTGCTGTAACTGGGAAAACACACACTGGATGCTGAAGCGCGGTGTGAAGAAAGGACATGAAATTTCTTAGTCATCAGTCTGATGTGGATTATGTTTTGAAATAATGGCATTTTGGATCTCAAGTTAAATACAAATCTTATGGGAGCCAGGCATGGTAGTGTGCACCTGTAGTCCCAGCCTCTCAGAAGGCTGAGGCAGGAGGATCACTTGAACCCAGGAGTTCAAGTGAACCCAAGACCAGCCTGGGCAATGTAGCAAGACCCTATGTCAAAAAATATATATATATATAATGAAATGGAAACAGCAAAAAGCACAGGGGAGTCATTGAAGGGTTTGGAGTGGAGCTGTCACTTGATGAGAGATGCAGAGATGCTCCAAAATAATAATATTAATAACTTTGAGGGAGTGTGTGAGGTGGATTGCAAGTGGGGGAAACTACAGACAAGAAAGTGCATTGAAAGATATTTTTAATGGCTGCACCAGGAAGAACCTGACTGAGTCAGAGGCTCAGATATTTGAACTCCACTCCCCAAATATGGATCAAAAGTGAACTCCCTGGTGCTCTCACTGGGCTAATACTAGCCCTCAGTCACTTGCAAAATACCACACAACCAGGAAAGTTCTGGGTTCTACTGGGAGGGTTCAATCACTGTGAAGGGTCAAAGGTCACCCTGATGAAGGATCCTGGACCAACCCTGACCCCTGGCTTGACTTGGAGGAAAACCCGACAAGGTTTGTTATTACGTCTTGAGCTGGAATTTACCATTGGAAATGCAGCCTTTGTCACCAGCATGAGGAGAACTGTTTTGCATTTGATGACATTTTCAAAATGGTGTGAAAAATCCCTGACGCTTTTATTAGAAAATCTATAAAGCCCAAACAAATGGTTTCATGCTGCTTTGCCTCATTCTTCATAGGTTCATCGGCAATCCATCATCCCTCCCACTTCTCCCGCGCCCTCCCACTCCCCTTGAACCCATCAGCAGCCACATCTTGCCCATGAACAAAAGAACTACTCAGAGAAGCCCTTTAAACCTTAGCTGTCCTTTGCTTCTCAACTTATACCCCTTAAATCAACGACAATCACTCCACGTTCACCGGCTCCCTTCCTGAGAGGAGAAAGGATGTTGTCACCTTTTTCCAGAAATCCTTTCCTTTTCATCTCACAGCACTCAATTCCGGAAGCTTGACTTGCCCTCTCCTCAGTTAGAGATGGGACTCTCTTTCTCGGGTCTGCTTTATGTTTGCTTTAATTTCCAGTTCCAACCAAATCACTGGATTAAAAGCAAATCAGTGAATACTGTCTTTCCCGAGAAAATGTTAAGTCTCTTCCTTAGATTGCCGTTTTGAAGAAAGAACTCCTCTATCTCGAATTTCAATTAAGGTGACCTGCCTCAGGCTTCAGATGCAGCTTTCCTTGCTTTCAAGTGTGACCCATCCAAGCCAACTCCATCTGTCTGATTATTATGCAACTTCCTGTCTATCCCTTCAGCCTCCCTAAAACAGACAACAGAAAGTTGTTGGACTTCCTCTTACCTACCTTCCCCCAGTCATTTCTCCCCTGTGAACCCTTCTCCCTGCACTTCCCTCCCCCACTAAGCACAGTAGCTGGTACTCCAGGTGTTCATAGCAAGAGTACTGCTATACAGCCATTGGGCACTGCCACTCTCTTTCACCATTTTTGAGTGAGTCTGATGCCTTTGCCAACACCATCACTATTGGGTTCTTTCTTATCTTCTCTACCTAGCTCTCTCTTGTTTTTTTGATTAATCAGCTTTTATCTATTTTCTGTTTTATACTATTTTTTTAATCTACCACATGTGTTAGGTGATCGCAGTTGGCCAACCAGTGTGTTGGCATGGGTTTGGGGTTGTGGGGCTTTCAGGTTTTCATTTAATTCTCACAATATCCTTGTGAGGTAAGAAGGGTGGAGATGATTAGTGGCTCCATTTTACAGATGGTAAATCTCTTTCCTAAAGCCTCCCAGTTCATAAAGGGCAGAGGTGAGAAGCAGGTCTTCTGCCCCCAAATCGCAATGCCTTTCCACCATACCCTCATGGAATGCTATTCCATGTTTCACTTCCTCATGGAATGCTATTCCATGTCCTCATTCTGATTTCTGGCCTGTCACACCTCTTCCTAGGCCTCTGCTCAGTTCAGCTTCAGCCAGGTTGCTCCCTCTCCTCTTGGCTCTCTGCCTATGTTCCTTTGCACAGTAACTGCCAGCCGGTAGCACTGAGCACTAAGCTGAGGGGAATTAACCAGCTAGAAGTCTTGCTCTGTCTTAAAGCTAAACACCCTGGTTTAGCTCTGAGCTGGCTTTAGAGTGAGATTTGGATCTCGAATGCTATTACTAGTCCTCCCCTACCCTGCACTCCACCCCCTGCCACCTCGATCCCACACGTGCCCATCACGCCCCAAGACACTGGCCCTGAATGGCAGCACTGTCTCCTGCATTCCCAAACTACCCTGGGCTGTAAAACCTGGGAGGCTCATCTCTGTGCTTTTTTTTTTTTTTTTTTTTTTCTCATCCTCAATGTGTTTTGCAGCACTTCCTGAGAGCAAATAAATACTGGGAAAAAAAGAAAAAGAAGAAAGGAAATCCCAGCAGGCAGAGTCTGGCAGCCCAAGCCACTTTACCTGCAACTCAGCTGACACCCGGTGAGATGCCTCTACAACAGGTGCAGGGAAAGCTGCAAAAAATACAAATACACTGCTTTGCTGTGGATTCTTCATTTTTAACTGAGACTTTCAGGGTCATATTTATTCCCCTCCAAAGACCCAGAACAAACCCAAATAGCAGAAAATGCAGCATTGCTCGAAAAGGCACAATCAGCCAGAGGCGCGGGGGCAGGGGAAGTAAATGGAATTCCTACAGTACCCCCAAGCTCAGCAGGAATTCTTTTTTGTCCCCTAATCCATCTCCTGTGTCATCAAGTGTGACGGTAGCCAAACAGGCAGGCAGGCTCTCATGGCCACAAAGAAGACAGGATGCCCCCACCCTTACCCCTCACCACCAGGGCAAACACTTCACATGAAACTTAAGTCGGGTATTCCGGTGTGGCATTGCGGCAGTGGAGTCAAGGTCAAGTAAGTTCACTGAATAAGACCGAGGGGTCTGAAGCGGCAGATGACAGTGGGAGAGGCAGGAAGTAGGTAGGGTGTGGGTAAGGGCTTGCCAGCCAGCCCTCCAGCATTGACTCAGCATCCCTCCTCTCCCTCTGCATGTCCTGCTCTCAAATCGCTGCCAACTACCAGCCCCAGCACTGTCAGTAAAAGAGTGGGACCAGGCACTATTCTCCTTTTGTCTTACATCTTCTGTAGAGAGCACTCAACGAGGAGTCCTTTCTTATGAGAGATGACCTGCAAATCACAAGCTCACTGCATCTGTTTTTCTAAAAAAGAGGAAGATGATGATGCCTTCCCTCCATCCTGTTCCCAACTTTCCCATCATCCTCCACACACACACACACAGACATTAAAAACTAGGAAGAGTCCCCAAAGGGCTATGAGCTCTTTTTGAGCAAACTCCACTTGAGTATTAGAACATTGGCTATTCGAGGTGATCCTGTATTGTTTAAAAGAAACAGAAGTCTTAGGCTCTTCTCAGCTTGA